CCCGCCCTCACGCCCGCTCGGCCCGCAGGCATCGTGCTGGACTCCGGCGACGGCGTGACCCACAACGTGCCCATCTATGAGGGCTACGCCCTGCCCCACGCCATCATGCGCCTGGACCTGGCTGGCCGGGACCTCACCGACTACCTGATGAAGATCCTCACTGAGCGCGGCTACTCCTTCGTCACCACGGGTGAGTGCGAGCTCCGGCTCGCCCGGGCGCGGGGGCGTGGTCAAGAGGAAACGGGCTACTGGGGGTGGAGGCGTGACTAATAGAACAGCTGGGCTGCCCGGGGAAAGGGGCGGGGCTAATGGGAGAAGGGGCAAAAAGCGTAGGGCAGTGTGGAAGGGGCGTGAGTACGGAGAATGGGGGCGCGGCCAATAGTATACTGGGCGGAGCTAATGGGGAAGGGGCGTGGTCACGGGAAGGGGCAGGGTTAAATGGCTGGGTGAATGAGGAAGGGGCGTGGTTAGGGAGGCCGGAGGCGTGGCCAGTGGAACGGGGTTGACAGGGAAGGGGGCGGGACTAGTGAAAGAAGGGGCGTGGTCAAAAGGAAAGGGACGGGGTTCTTGTGGTATGAGGATGGGGGCGTGGCCAATAGGACGCCGGGCAAGGCTGACAGGGAAGGGGGCGTGGCTCAGAACTAATGGGCGGGGCCGCCGCTCCCGTGTGATCTGTGCTGCCACGTGCGGCGTCTGCCCCGGGGGGGGGGCGTGTCCTCGGACCTCCGTGTGCCCGCTTCCCCCGCGCCCTTGTGCCACTCCCTCCCCGTCCCCGCCTGCTCTGACCCCTGTCCTTCCACCCCCCCGGGCAGCCGAGCGTGAGATCGTGCGCGACATCAAGGAGAAGCTCTGCTATGTGGCCCTGGACTTCGAGAACGAGATGGCCACGGCCGCCTCCTCCTCCTCCCTGGAGAAGAGCTACGAGCTGCCTGATGGGCAGGTCATCACCATCGGCAACGAGCGCTTCCGCTGCCCAGAGACCCTCTTCCAGCCTTCCTTCATCGGTATGTGGCCCGGCCCGTAATGAGCGGGGGAGCTGGAGATGCAGCCCCTGAACCAGGGCTTTCTAGTCCTTAACTGCTGAAGGCTGCAAATGAGAGCGGGACAGAGTGGGTGTGGGTGGGGGACCCTGATCAGACCTTGTTCACCCTCCCTTTCACCCTGCCACTGGATGCTACAGGCTGGGCGAGACGACCCAGGAGGCGGCAGCCCTTCTGTGCCTCCTTTCTAGGGAAACGAGGTTCTTTGGGAAAATCTGGTATTTTTTATTAGACCAGCTCAAATAGTTGGAAACATTCTTTTTAGAGGAGGGTATGAGGAAGCAACTGCGGTTGGTGTATGCTCTTCCTTTTCGGGGAAAAACCCCATCCCCCTCCCCGCCCCGTCCTCTCCCTCTCCGCCGTGCCCTTCATCCGCCCCTCGCCCGCAGGTATGGAGTCTGCCGGGATTCATGAGACCACCTACAACAGCATCATGAAGTGCGACATCGACATCAGGAAGGACCTGTACGCCAACAATGTCATGTCCGGCGGCACCACCATGTACCCCGGTATCGCTGACCGCATGCAGAAGGAGATCACTGCCCTGGCTCCCAGCACCATGAAGATCAAGGTGAGCTCTGCTGCCCGGGCGGGCGCGGGGAGTAGCGCAGTGCCTCGCTGTGCCAGCAAGGGGCGGGGGTGCCCCGGAGGAGGGGGCAGCTCCGCCTGCCTCCACGTGCAGCCGGGGCTGTGGTCCTGCCTTGTCCTGCTCTGCTCCCGCCTCGCTCCTTTCACTGATCCGATGTCTCTCTCTCTCCCTCCCCCAGATCATCGCTCCCCCTGAGCGCAAGTACTCTGTCTGGATCGGTGGCTCCATCCTGGCTTCCCTGTCCACCTTCCAGCAGATGTGGATCACGAAACAGGAGTACGACGAAGCCGGCCCCTCCATTGTCCACCGCAAATGCTTCTAAGCAGGCTGACACGATGCCGCCGGGACCCGCTCTCAGGACGACGGTGCTGCCGGGCTGCCGGAGCCCGTCTCACTCCCCCTTTACTTTTGTAACACCCCCTGCGTCGGGCGCCGCCACCTCCCCGTGACGCGGTGTCTGTAAAGTGTACATACGTTAATTTATTTTACCTCGTTTTGTTTATTTTTCAAACCATGCCCTGCGGAAGGAAACACGAAACACTTCAAGAAGCATTAAATTATCAGTCAT